AACCTACCAGGACGCGCGCCGAGTTGGACTCGTCGACGGTCCAAATCCAATATATGGAACAGATATTTTACGAGTATCTATCACCCGTTAACTCCCCCCTTTCCTTCAGCTTTCTTAGCTGAACTATGAACTCTCAGCTCTTTCGCCCACCCAGGAAACCTTACCGCCTGCCGGGTTCGCTAGAGGTGATCGATTTTCAACAGCACGTTTGTCCTCGCGCGTTGAAAACCGGAAGGTTCTATATATTTTACTTTTGGAGATATACTCCAGACGGTAGGGTTTGCTGGGTCAGCAAAATGTTCGTTTCGTTAAATTAACGTTAGCTTCCCAGGAGCAAACTTTTGGACAAACATTGAACGTAGATTTTGAGTTATCTCGAAAAGGGATGATGATTAATCACTCTACACTTTGACTGTACACTCGACTGTCACGTGACTCTTTATGCGCATGTTATTATATCTCCGCCGAAAGCACACTCCCCAAATTGCGCGCATTGCCGTAACTTCTTTCAAACTTCGCGCTTCGTGAATCGAGATAAATTATTTTGCAATGTATTCAGAATTAATATGTGCACTTATATGAATCACCTGGAATACTTTTGAAAGAGAATAACAAGCTCAAAAATGCTACTGACGTCGCGTATTTCTCCATAAAAAGTACAATAGCGTGGGTAGCTTTAGTCTAGGTGCCTCGAAAGTGATCTTAAACGATTCCCCGTTTAAGTTTGGTCGTGGAGCGTCAACTTAGTGCATAATCAAGGAAGTTATAAACATATTTTATACTATCAAATTGGTTGTAGAGCGATGTTGTCATACGTTGTATGACCCGCCGCGCACGAAGTGCGTGGCTCCCCCTGTATCGTTAGGACCATAGTGAAACGACCGTGGGGGTCGCAACGTGATACAAGAGCGATGCACTACTGGGCCGCGCTGCGCATCAAATAATTCTTCTCGCAACCATCTCACATCTTCGGTAGATCGGCGAAATGATGACATACATTGCATGCCACTTTTCGCGCGCGAAGCGCGCGCCGCCGAAAATATATTTATATATTATCTCTGATATTGGGATACGAAACATGTATCAAGCGAAATGCACCACTGGGCCTTAGGATTGACATCGTGAATCAACATTATGTTGTTTCTTGTATCACGTTGTGACCCCCACGGTCGTTTCGCGTCTAAATTTCTTCGAAGCGCCGCTTTCTTCTCGAAACACGTTATTACATATTAACAATGGACAACCATTCGCGCGTGAAAAGAGGTATGCAACGTATGTGTATCAAATTTAGGCGCCGATATTTATAGGCGCCGATATTTATAGTTATATTGCAGTGGTTAAGGGGTTTTCCAAACTCCAGGGGCTCGTGAAGTGTCTTACACAACCTCTCCGAGCCCAAGATCCGTAGTGCGTGGTGAAGAGCCACACCCTTCTCGAGGTGCCACTGTTAAGCTTAGTAGCCTGTTCTGGGTGATTCCAGTTAAAACAGGTGAACGGTAACAGAACACTGCGGCTCTAGACCAGTACAGGTCGAAAAATATAACCGGGAAATCTGTCTCGTTAGGACTGCATGCAGTTCATCGGGTGCGAAGGGCCAGCATCCCTTCCACCTCAAATAACAACGCTACTGAAACAACACACACATCAAATGGACGGAGTGCTACTTCCAATTCAAGGACGGATGGTTCCAGCATGACGGAGGCTGGGCAAAGCCTACGGGACCCCAGTCGCCTGATGAGAAGAGGGGGTACTCGTCATCCGACCAGATTTATTAGTCAACAGATCATCCATGTTGACCCTGCTTCCAACAAATCCAATCCAGTAAATTATTGCAAACAGTTTTTACGTTTTGGAACATGGAACGTTCTATCTCTTGTCAGCTCATCTACACAGCTCTACCAACTTAGTAAAAACATTGATCAGTACAGATTGGATCTTTTGGGGATCACCGAGACTCACATGCCTGGATCTGGCACCACTCTACTGGACAATGGCAGTCTACTCATCCATTCCGGTAGAGTCGACGGGATCAAGAGACAGGGAGTCGGTCTCAGTCTTTCAAAACGAATCAGAAACTCCCTGATATCGTTCACTCCCACATCGGAGCGGGTTTTAACTGCTAGGCTGCATAGTAAGCAAATCAACATCTCTGTTGTTGTGGCCTATGCTCCAACTGAGGGTGCAGAGGAGAGTGAGAAAGATAAGTTTTATAGGACACTCACAGATACATTTGATGGGCTACCTCGTCACGATATCAAGTTACTGCTCGGCGATTTTAATGCAAAAGTAACATCAGGCAGATATGGAAGTGAAGCGGTCATCGGTGGGGAATCACTCCATAGCTCATCAAATGACAACGGGACAAGACTTGTGGATTTCTGTGCGACGAACCAGCTTGTCATCGGGGGAACTCTCTTCGAGCACAAGAACATTCACAAGGGAACATGGCGGTCCCCCAACGGGCTCACCGTCAATCAGATAGATCATATCTGCATTGGAAAGCGGTTTCGTCAGTCACTTTTTGATGTTAGGGTATGTCGCGGGGCAGACATCGGCTCCGATCATTATCTGGTTCTAGGACTGCTGAAAATCAAACTTCAGTCAGTGACAAAGATCAACGCCAACAGGCCCAATGTGCCTGCCATTGAGCGCCTGAGGGATAGTACTACGGTTTTAGAGTACAATGTGGCTCTTCAAAACCGATTTACAAGTCTGGATAGTGAGGTCGACCTCGAGGATATGTGGCGTAATCTCAGTCAGACCGTCACTGATGTCTCACTGGAGGTACTAGGCAAAAGACCCCGGAAGGCAAAGGAGCAACACCTGTCACGGAAGACCAAGGATTTATTGACTCAGCGGGCACAGTTTAAGCGCAAAGACCCAAACTCGGACACTAACAGGTCAGAGTATTCTAAACTTAATAAGTTAGTCAAGAAAAGCAGCAAGCTAGACGACAATAACTGGGCAGTTAGAGTAGCTACTGATCTTGAGGAAGCAGCGAGCAAAGGTCAGCAGCGTGAGGTATGGGCAAAGATCAAGAAGATCTCTGGTAAGAACAAGAAGCCTCAAGCATCTTGTGTCCGGGACAAGGACGGTAGGAAGATCACGGATCCCCAACAGCAGAGGGATAGGTGGAAGGAGCACTTTACTGAACTTCTGAACCCCCCATCATCAAGTGTCAACCTTGCCGACCTTGATACAGTACCACCCCAACCCCACTTTAACTCTCTCTCTTGTTCGGATGGACCACCCACCAGAGACGAGATTAGTTATTCCCTGACAAAGCTTAAGAACAACAAAAGCCCAGGAGTGGACGGGATAACTAACGAGCAACTGAAGTATGGTGCGAGTGCTCTAGTTGATCAACTAGAGTGTCTATTCAAGAAAGTGTGGGAAGAAGAGACTGTTCCTGAAGATTGGTTAAAGGGTGTGATCATTGTTATTGGGAAGAAAGGAGACACTTCAGTCTGCGGGAACAACAGAGGGATCACCTTAAGGTCTACAGCATCCAAGCTTTTTCAGATGATTCTTCTTAAGCGGTTACATGCTGGTATGGAGTGTCTCCTCAGGGAGAATCAGTGCGGATTTAGACAGAACCGCTCATGTATTGATCAGATTTATTCTCTCCGAACTATTATTCATAACTGTCTTGAGTTTAACATTCCTCTCTACATTAATTTTGTGGATTTCAAGGCAGCGTTCGATTCTATCAGAAGGGACTTTATTTGGTGCAGTATGAGACACTATCGGCTGCCTGAAAAATATGTCAGAATATTTCAGTCATTTTTTGGGGGTACCATGAGTGCCGTGAGGGTTAATGGGGAGCTGACAGACTGGTTTGATGTTAACTCAGGCACAGGTCAGGGTGACATTCAAGCACCTCCTGTCTTTAATTTCTGCCTAAACTTTTCTGCATTTCTGGCTGAGACCAACAAGATCATCAGTCAAGGCGCAGTGCTGCAGAAAGAGATATTATGGACAACTCAGGGGAAGGCCTACAGGAATCAACTGATCTATTAGTTCATTACAGCTCCTACGCTGGGCTCAGAATAAATGCAAAGAAGACCCAATGCATGGCTGTAAGCAAGTGCGCCTCCCAGCGACCTTTCATCAAGGATGATTGTATTGAGCTGTCGGTTGAGGGTGAACCCGTCGAGCAGGTTAGCAACTTTGTCTACCTGGGTGCAACTATTAGTGGGGATGGGACAATCAACAGAGACCTGGATGTCCGTATCCAGAAGGCTAATGGCGCCTTTCATCAGCTCTGGAACATTTGGAATAGCAGAACTATAAAGACTCCAACCAAGATCAGGATCTATAGGGCTGCTGTCCTCACCATCTTGTTGTATGGAGCTGAAGTCTGGAACACCACCAAAAAGCAGATGAAACGTTTCGAGGTTTTCCATCAAACCTCCTTGAGAAGGATCCTTAGGATTAAATGGTTCTTTCATGTAACCAACGACGAAGTTCTTAGGAGGGCTGGCATCAAGTCAGTTGAGACTTTCATCAGTGCTGCCAGGCTACGTTGGTATGGACATGTAGTTAGAATGCCAGACTCTAGACTACCGAGGTTTCTGTTGAACTGGAAGCCAAACTATGGAAAGAGGTCAAGGGGCAGACCCCGTAAGAACTGGAAGTCCTGCGTACTCGAAGATGCTGCTAAGTTTACAGGTGTTGAAAACATCGACAACGACACAACAGAAGCTTTGGCTACCAACCGAGTACAGTGGAGACATATGTTACGCCGCCAACGCGATGTGTGTGATGCAGGCCACTCCAACGACTAGGAGGAGACCTTACCATGTAACATGTATGTGTATTGCAGCTATGTATAGGACTCTTTCACAAGAAATAAACGAACACGCAGGTACTCGGACAGGTCTAAATCTAATCGCGGTTAAAGGAACCAGTCAAAATATTGGGAACGAAAAATGTTGTGAAAGCGAAGAAAATACTCCCGCATTTTAGACGCAAATATCTACGAATTCTATCTGATATAACAAAATTTAAATTCTAACAAATTGTAAAGCAGCCCTTTATCGAAAGAAAATATCATCTAAAAGCGATAAAACTGTTAAAAATAACTGAACATAAAATATCGGAGATATATTTAGTTTGTATCCACAATGTATACAGTTTGTATAAAAATATTTGCATATTATCAAGAAACACACCATAAGGCTACATCACAATTCAATATCATAAATACAATAATCTGTCAGTCTGAACAAACTAGGGTCACAATAATGACGTCAAGCTGTTACTGATGATGTCACGTGTTTGGTCATGACGTCATAGTCATACTGATACTATTGTCTTTCCCGGGTCGTATATTTGGGAAAAAAGGGAAATTCCAAGGACCAGCCCGCCATTATTTCCTCGTGTAACTGTGCTCACTTATTATGTCACTAAAAACTGATGACGTCACGTGAAGATCAATGAGGTCACGTGATGATGTGGTGACGTCATATTTTGTCGTTGTCAAATATGCTAGTGTCGTGCTCGTCATCAGACACCTCGTACTCGTTCTCATAACCTTGTAGTGACACTTCCATGTTATAATCCTCCACCTGAAAGGAAAACATCATCGTAAAGTTCTGGATTCTGGACTGATATCTTGTATCTATTTTAGTTTCAACTTATTTGAAGAACAATTTGAAGAACAATTTTCGATTGAAGTTATCACCTTTTATCACTTCAAATGCAAAGCAAGTGGCTTCACTACTACTTTTCTGAAATTCACGATCTTGTAAAGTTGTACGAGCTCAATTTTCAGCTCTATTAACACAGGGCCCGTTAATAAATAATAATGAAGCTCACGTTTTCAGCACCGCTAGTAGTTAGAGGGGGTGGGAGGTGGACGAGTCTGTCTGAGGGGTTGTCTAACTGATCGTCAGGATCAAACTCATAGACCGGGTTATCGTATGTTACATCTCCCATGTTCTCCATCAGGACCTGCTAAAGGTGGGGTTGGTTAATGGCTACTAAATGTTGTGCTGTAGATTCACATAGCCATGAGTCTACGCGTACTGCGTGACGCGCTTGTTTCAGCTTCGGCGGTCGCGCGCTACTGCAAGTGCAAGCGAGAGGGCTCTGGTTAGAGCAATGTTGTAGACAATGTTTTTGGGCGAAGCTTGCTCCAGAAATTTTTATAAGTGCTTATTGTGAAACGAGGGAATATGGGAAAAGTAAAGTGAAAATTTGGAGCAGTCAGTTTAGTGTTGTATCAGTATATTAGGACAAATCGAAATTATTGTAGCGAGATGCGCTACTGTGCCGCGCCGAGCTGCGATGAATTGACATCGTCAATTAACGAAATTATTGATTAACTCACGTGATCGTTCCTCCGTAATCGCTCATATGGGAGGAAAGTGAAACCTCTCCTCTTTAACCTGCATAAAATAAGAAGTATTATTTGGTATATTATAATAGTAACCTCTCCTCTTTAACCTGCATAAAATAAGAAGTATTATTTGGTATATTATAATAGTAACCTCTCCTCTTTAACCTGCATAAAATAAGAAGTATTATTTGGTATATTATAATAGTAACCTCTCCTCTTTAACCTGCATAAAATAAGAAGTATTATTTGGTATATTATAATAGTAACCTCTCCTCTTTAACCTGCATAAAATAAGAAGTATTATTTGGTATATTATATTATAATAGTATTATAATATTATATTATAATGGTAACCACTTTGGAAATTAAGAAATACATCTATTGGAAAAAACATACTGCGTAGTTTAAAAAATTGGAAAAAATATAAAAATCTTTTAAAAGGACGCAGTCGGAGACATTTTAATGCTGATGAAAAACTGATGTATCAGTGAAACTTACCGAACGAAGATTACTATGGCTACTAAAATTACAATGATCGCTATCCCACTGATCACACCGGCCACTAGCGACGTTTTGGACGAGGTGGAGGCGAGCGTTTCTGGGTCTGCAATTAGTAAATCAATTAGCAAATCAATTAGTAAATCAATTAGTAAATCAATTAGTAAATCAATTAGTAAATCAATTAGTAAATAAATAAGTTAATCAAATAGTAAACCAATTAGTAAATCAACTAGCAAATAAATAAGTTAATCAATTAGTAAACCAATTAGTAAATCAATTAGTAAATCAATTAAAAAATATTGAATATACAGACAAAAGCAAAAAAAGAAAAATCGTGTGCAAGTGTTTAATTTTATGTTTTTAAATCTCTACGTTGTGGTCATCAAAAACATGCTGAACAACAAACTAAATCACATTACGAATTATCACATATCACAAACGTACCAAAAACGCATAAAGCTGGATCCATTATTGCGATTTTCTTCACTTTTTCGTATTGTCCCGTACTAGCGTACTCTAGTCGAGCGTGGTAGAGCTTTTTCCGCTTTGTACTACCTGAGTTATAGTGACGTAACGGTACGTGGTGTTGTGATGACGTCACGTGGTGTTGTGATGACGTCACGTGGTGTTGTGATGACGTCACGTGGTGTTGTAATGACTTCACGTGGTGTTGTGATGACGTCACGTGGTGTTGTAATGACTTCACGTGGTTTTATGATGACGTCACGTGGTGTTGTGATGACGTCACGTGGTGTTGTGATGACGTCACGTGGTGTTGTGATGACGTCACGTGGTGTTGTGATGAAGTCACGTGGTGTTGTAATGAAGTCACGTGGTGTTGTGATGACGTCACGTGGTGTTGTAATGAAGTCACGTGGTTTTATGATGACGTCACGTGGTGTTGTGATGACGTCACGTGGTGTTGTTATGAAGTCACGTGGTTTTATGATGACGTCACGTGGTGTTGTAATGACTTCACGTGGTGTTGTGATGACGTCACGTGGTTTTATGATGACGTCACGTGGTTTTATGATGACGTCACGTGGTTTTATGATGACGTCACGTGGTGTTGTAATGACTTCACGTGGTGTTGTAATGACGTCACTTACCTTCAATATCTGCAGATCGTATTGCTCTAGTAACTACATCTCCGTGTTTGTCAGCGGCTACCCAGTAGAATGTGTCTCCAATAACTGTAATAAAGTCGTGAAGGTCATGTAGCAGCATTGCAATCAATGAGAGTGGAATTAAAATAAATATCAAAGTGAAAGTGAAAGTGAAAGTGAGATCTACCTGCCACAGCTGGTTGACTAGGTTGACCATCCCCATAGGTGATGTGAGTTACCGGATCTTTACCCTCCAGATCAGTCTTTATAACAGAACTGCAATGAAAACAATTATAATCGTTTAACTGTGATACAGCAAGGTGGGGCGACAGTAAATTGTACCCCAGATTAAAAGTTATCCAAAAATAACATCCTCGCCCTGTACTACGTTTAATATCATAATTTAAATTGGGGGGGGGGGGGGGGGGGGGGGGGGGCCAACCATATTAAAGTATATTAAATTCTTAATCGATTCCAAAAAGTTCTTGAAAAAATATTGAAAACTGATGGAGTTATTTCAATTTTAATGAAGTCATTTTGGCTTGTATTCCGAACAGAGATATTATGTGCAATTTTCCCAATTTTGTTCATGGAGGTCTTTTTACTTAGTATCCACTATATTCAACAAACACTGAGTTATATCTTTCACATAGAGTTAGTCTCATTAAAAAATATTGAAATTTTATCGAATTTGGGCAAAAGCGAATTTGGGCAAAAGCGTATGCCCAAATATGGGCATATTTTTTAAAGCTCATAGCTCAGCCAATTTTTGACCAATCTGGATGGAAATTCATGTACTAGTCCTAAAACAGGCTTATCTTGCGAATCTGAGTGAAAAATATAGTTCATCATGTAAATCTTAACGAAGAATATAAATCTTCTAATTGTAGGTATATTAAAGTATATTAAAATGTAGGATTTTTTCCGATTTTGACCCGGGGATATACTTTAATATACTTTAATATGGTTGGCCCCCCCCCCCCCCCCCCCCCCCCCCCCCAAATTTAGAACAAAAAACACTCTGAGGTAAAAATCAAGGGTTTAGCAATGAACTAACCTGGATGTTGCCAGATACAAGGTTTTAGTTCTGGGGTCTGAAGTGACAGCATGAACCTTGTAACCACCACCATCTAACGCTGTGTAGATTACCTTACAGGCTTTACCTTCCAATAAGCATCTCTTAACACTCCCATCAGCCATGGTGTAGTACATGAACTGATAGTTGCTGTGTAGCTGTAGGAGGGTGTTGGGAGTTAGGCAGACAGACAGACAGACAGACAGACAGACAGACAGACAGACAGACAGACAGACAGACAGACAGACAGACAGACAGACAGACAGACAGACAGACAGACAGACAGACAGACAGACAGACATACAGACAGACAGACATACAGACAGACAGACAGACTATTGGTATTTACCCAGAGTGATGTAATGGGTTCCTTTTCCGTAAGAAGATCCTGGTAATCGAGAAGATGTTTCACTTTCCGCCGTTTTATCGTGTACCCTGGCCAATGAATCAGTCAGTTTTAATTACTGTTCTGATAGCATAAACACTAAACAGCATATAATTACAGTGTTCAATCTCCTATAATATCTCATCATCAGGCTCTCTTGGTTTTCATATGAAATAAGGTAAATATAATGACTAATAAGTAATTTTCACGATTTCACACCCTCAAAACATTGTAAAATAAGAACTATAAGATCGAAAGATGTAAAACGGAACAGTACTAAAAACAACAAAATAAGAAACAATCTATGATGACACTGACCTTGCGGTGTATGCAAAACGTAGTAAAGACGCTCGTCAAGCCAGTCATAAGCCAAGTCCACAATCCCGGATACGTTAACTAATTTCTCCCGGAACAACTGTTCAACCTCCTCGTTATCAGTTCCTACTTTGTGTATCACAAACACCTGTTATCAAGGTCAGTTTAGTTAGTAGAGTTTAAAAACAGCGTAAATTATAACCCAAGTAGCAGCATTGTTTCAGAAAATCAGTAAACAGTAAACAGTAAACAGTAAACAGTAAACAGTAAACAGTAAACAGTAAACAGTAAACAGTAAACAGTAAACAGTAAACAGTAAACAGTGAACAAATAAACCAGTTTTATATATTTAGATCACTAATAAAATTGTGTTAAAATATATAACTAGATAATAGTTATTTGTGAACAGAAAGTGGCCGTATTGTTAACCTCATTAGAGATGCCGTCCGAGTAGTAGGTTTGGTTGGTAAGGGCGTTGACGGCCAGGGATGAGGTCTGCTGGACGTCTGAAGGGAATTTGTTAAGAAGGAGGGGGAAAGTCTGTTCTAGGTTAGGATAGATATTGTCCCCCTATTTCTAACAAGCCTCTTTCTAACGAGGCTAGTTTTTAGACCACAAAGTTTTTAGACTTGGGTCGTCTGGTTTTCATAAAGAGTAATATGCTGTTCGTAAATGAAGTCACGTGGTTTGGTGATGAAGTCACGTGGTTTTGTGATAGAGTCACGTGGTTTTGTGATGAAGTCACGTGGTTTTGTGATGAAGTCACGTGTTATAATACTCACAAGATTGAGCTATCGTAGAGACGTAAGGAACGGCAGCTTCAAGGGTTCTGTAGATGATAGAGTTGGTGGTTGCTATTATCAGAGCACTTGGGGAAATTGTACAGATCTTTTTACCGAAGTCTTCTCGTGCCACTTGACCTGAAAGAGATATAATATATAGCTGGTGGAAACTAATTAAACGAATATAAACAATGGAAACTAATATAAACGTGTTAAAGTGATGTTATGGTTGCCAGAAATAAAACAGTCGAACATAGATATAATTCATTAGCCTGCATCATAACTAAGTGCTGATAGATATTAGATACTCAATAGGGGTCAATATCCACAAACATAAGATATAATTCATTAGATAAGATAATTGTTGGGTCCTGTGACAATTAAAAAAACCTTTCTAAAAGCAGGCATTAGACAGGGTATTACAGGTATCACAGACATTACAGGCATTACATTAGACAGGGTATTACAGGGTATTACAGGGTATTACTGGCATTACATTATACAGGGTATTTACTACTGACCAGGACGACAGGTGCATGTAGGAGTCAGGTCAGAAGAGATAAAACAACCCTGCTCACAACCAGCTTCATCACACGGGCTGCTCTTACATGTCTTACCATCCGGACCTGTAGTTAGTAAGTTATTATTAACTTAATAACTTAATTAAGTTATTTAAGTTATTAAGTTATTAAGTTATGAAGTTATTAAGTTAAGATCAGCTGTGTCACACGGGCTGCTCTTACATGTCTTACCATCCGGACCTGTAGTTAGTAAGTTATTATTAACTTAATAACTTAATTAAGTTATTTAAGTTATTAAGTTATTAAGTTATTAAGTTAAGAGCAGCTGTGTCACACGGGCTGCTCTTACATGTCTTACCATCCGGACCTGTAGTTAGTTAGTTATTATTAACCTATTCCACTTGTAACTCACTTAGTACGTATCTTGTGAGCATAACAATTAACACTAAAGATTGAACTAGGAAGTTTAAAATATAATGATCCGGTTGAGCACAGTGGATATGACTATATAGAGATAAGAGGGGTTAGAACCTCTTACTGCCGCATCCCTGAAATCTACAAGTTAAGGACTGTGGTGAATCTTACCTAACTCAATGTATTCAGGGCAGACACACGTTGCTCCACTCTTACTTGGTAGACACAAATGTGAACACTCCTTCTCTCTGGAAAAATAGCAATTTAACTTGTTAGTCCTTCCTAAGAGTAATATTAATTATACCACACAATAATAACTTCATATCGGTCTTAATTTGGCAAAAAATAAGTTTCTCCAGCCCTAAGTATAGACTATAGGCACAGGAGCCGAATTTCGGGACATCAAGGACCGTCCAAATTAGGGCCACTAAGGTACTTAACCACACAATCCTCGTTTAATACGAGGTGTCACGTGATGTCACGTGATGTCACGTACCTGCAGGGGTTGGAATGGGTAATACGCTCGCAGATAAAACCACGTGTTTCCTCCGCTCCTCTTCCGTACCACTTTCCGTCAGTCCCCAACGCAGCGTACCGATCTGGCGAGCAAGTCAAGATGTAAGATGGGCAAAGATAGAGTTATAAATCCAGACTTTTTATTTACAAATCACAATAATTAATGGCCAAATATCAGATCGCTGATAAAAAAGTTGACCGTTGTTCATCATGGAACGCATTATCGCGGAACAAGGTAGAAACTCCTTTAAATAACCTGAACAGTAACTAACCCGGAACAGAGATGAAGTCCTCCGGTTCTTCCGGGGCCCAGTTTGTGTAGAGAGACAGATCACCTCCCTGCCAGGTCCAGTCTGCAGCACTGTCGTCTGCTCTCCTATATCCTATCCACATCTGGGGGATTAGTGACGTTAACAAGTGATCCATGACGTCACAAATGATCCATGACGTCAACAAATGGGATCAGATCGGGTACTAACTGACCCAGGGGGAAAACAATAACAGGCTAATCAATCATATTGGCCCGGTAATTGACAAGCTGTTATTAGGTAGTTAGTGACATGTTTTCCTACTTCCTGGGAAAGTGGCAATTAAGAATTAGTTTGATTGAAGGGGCTTTGTTCTATCGTTAGGGGTCATGTTTGTATCGGTTAATTGATTAGATTTAAACCCCAATCAGCGACTATGTCCCTTAAGATATAAAATGGATTCATGTATCATTAATTTTATCTTCGATTTGACTCGTTCAGCTTTTATCACAGTTTGCTAAGAATATTTCAACTATCTTATACAATCCCGCACTCTTCAAAACCCCAAAATATGATATCCTCTTGCTTCCCCTACATCACCTCCGCCTCTCAAAGAATAAAAACCAAAAAGGACAACCAAGTTCTGAGAGACATGACAAACATCGGGGAAACTTCAGATGACGTCACTCCCTATACTCCACAAGCTAAACGCCGGCGCTACAACACCAGTGCATCCACCAACAGTTCAAGTGATATGGATATCAACCTGTCTTCCAGTGAGTCTGATATGAGTATCGAGCTAAAGGAAGATGAAGTCCAAGAGCTTGAGATCAGGGACATCGACGAAGGAGCTAGTGTTGAGGAAAGTCCAGAGTATGTTGCAGATATTGATAACTATCTGAGGAAACTGGAAGAGCAATTCAAACCAAAAGCAGGATACATGTTGAAACAGCGGTACATCACCCTCGCTAACAGATCTACTGTAACTGACTGGATGTTCGAAATTTGCGACGAATTCCGGCTTACCCAGAAGATATTCCAACTAGGGGTATCCTACGTGGACAGGTTCCTCTCCAAGATGTCCATGTCAACCAAACACCTGCAACTCCTGGGAACAACAGCCCTGTTTATAGCTTGCAAGGTAGAGGAGCAATGTGCGCCCGGGCTAGCAGCTAGCTTTGTGTGGCTTACTGATAACACCTACTCTGTCAGCCAGCTCTTCAGGATGGAGGTTATGATCCTGAATACACTCGACTACGAGATTAACTCCCCCACTACTCGGGACTTCCAAGATAGGTTCCTCAAAGCGTCTGGTGGTGACTCTGCTGAGCAGTTCTTTACCGAGTATCTGTGCAATAGATCCCAGGTACACGGACACACATTCCTGAGTTACACTCCCTCTCTGGTGACAGCTGCTGCTGTTGCTCTGTCACGTGTTATACAGACACCCTCAGATCCTGTCTGGACCCCAACTCTAACCCACTACACACAACACACCTATCAGGAGATAAGGGAGTGTATGTCTGATCTTCTGCAACTCTACAAGCTGGATGTTAATCCTGATACACGGTGTTATCCTGCTGTGTGGAACAAGTACTGTCTCCCTAGATATAAGTGTGTGTTGCAGAAACACCCTGTTCAGTCTATTCCTAAATACCACTGAAAAATATCCTTCAACAACAAGTCCACGATAGATTAAAACAAGTCTACCTAACGTAGTTTCAGCTCCGGCTTCTACTACTCCAAATGTGTTTTAAATTATTTTTGTTATTTTCAGTTCAATGAAATATTATATACGCACCGATATAAAGTTATGTGGAGTTGCTCCTTTTTTTGCTTATTTTGATTAGTTCTTTTCTAAGTTTTCTTTTCTAAGTTTTAATTTAAATTATGGTAAATGGTTGATTTTTTTTCAATGTTAAATGTTTTTGTATTTTAAGTTTATTTGCTATTCAATAGTTTTACTTATGTCCAAAAAAATTATGAAATAAAAAAATTCTCAAAGTTCCAACACCCAAAATTCAATGGCCTAAATATAAATTTAAAGAACAACAAAAATCAATTCTAACACCTAAAATTGCTCTGGTGGTTGGTTTTCTAGGGCAGAAAATGCTCCCTCTACCTACACTAACCTCATCACCCCTGCTCCCTCCACCTACACTAACCTCATCACCCCTGAGCTGTTGTAAAATCTCGTTGTTCTGGTCCTGGTCCTTGATAACAGCCAGTGTTCCTTGGTACACGTCTTTACAGTAACTAGCTGCAGTATCGTAGTCCACTAATGTGTCGTTTGATTGGATCTCCTTTATATCTCCTGGTATTAAAATAACATTTAACAATGATACAAATTATCACAAATTGCGTATTATCAAAAATTAGTTTAAAACATTTGAGCGATTTTCAGGGAGATGAGATGATAAGTCGTTCTAATTTTATGAACATATATGTTGGAATAATCCATGCTGTGTGATATGAATGTTAAATGTTAAGTAAATTAAGTAAAGATTAATTAAATAAAGTAAAAATGAGCCGCGCACCCCTCCAGAAGTTCTGAGAAGCGTCGTAGAGAAGCAGATGTTTGATTGGAGGTATCTTGGTTATACGGGTCCGTTCACTCCAGTCTGTTATACTTGTTTTGTAGAGGTACCCAACAACTGAAAATATATTTAGGTAATACTTAAATATATTTATCATTAATACTTACTAATACTTATCTTTTAGGACGTAATTAAACACACATTTATTGAATTACACAAGACTGAAGGGCCTAATCACCATTAATATACCCATGAAAATATTCTTCAACAAAGCATCGAAGTGGAATATAACTTACATACATTCAAATCAAATTAACAGTCAAACTGTTGCCAAAAATATTATAAAAATGATAAATAGAAAGTGAAGATTACCTGTTCCTGTGCCAGAAGGAGGTTCCTCAACTCTGTAATAAATCTCGGAGCTGACCATTGCCACGTGACTTACTGTACCTTCCTCTACATCGATAGAGTTAACTTTAACGTTAAGTGACGTATCATTCATGTGTATAAACTCTATCTTGTTGGTCGCTTTGTTTACCTGGAGACAGGATGGTTTGGAGGGTGCCGCGAGTTGGGATTGTGAGCTTGCAAACAATTTTGGTTCGATTCAAATGATCATTTGAGATTTAGCACAAATTATTGTAATGTGGAAAAATGAACTACGTGTGACACTGTTAAAGTAGAAGTTGGTTGAAAATATAACCCTTGTGTTTGAAAACTAACCCAAATCAACAGATCGTGATCTCGAGAGCTGGCCAATGAGTCTACACTCTCGGAAGGTAGGGGTATTTTAGTCAGCATCTCTCCTGAGTATCTGGAAAGTGTGTTAATTGTGTTAATTGTTGTTAATTGTTGACAATGTACGAGATGAAATAACTTTAATCAACTTATCTGATTAGTCAGATCATTTACTGATATGATACTTGGATTTGCTGCAACCAAACTCTAGCAGCCTGTGCTTATAGTTAATCATAATTAAAATTTGCTTGAAAACCCAACAAACTTCAGTTTTATTACAGAAAATATGGCCCAAAATAAATAACTTACTTAGCAGAAACAATACTGAGTTTAGAAGTGCTCCTCAAAATAAACAACTTACTTAGCAGAAACAATACTGAGTTTAGAAGTGCTCCTCAAAATAAACAACTTACTTAGCAGAAACAATACTGAGTTTAGAAGTGTTCCTCAAAATAAACAACTTACTTAGCAGAAACAATACTGAGTTTAGAAGTGCTCCTCAAAATAAACAACTTACTTAGCAGAAACAATACTGAGTTTAGAAGTGCTCCTCTTTTTCCAAGGCTTGTCCTCATGTACAATCCACCTCAGAACTCCACTCAAGCTATCCACAATAACCTGCTCCGCCCCTGTCATGCCTGTTTCTAGTACTGTTCGAGTAGAATTACCGTCTGTGTCCGCTACCTGTAATGTAATGTGTCATGCCTGTTTCTTGTACTGTTCGAGTAGAATTACCGTCTGTGTCTGCTACCTGTAATGTAATGTGTCATGCCTGTTTCTAGTACTGTTCGAGTAGAATTACCGTCTGTGTCCGCTACCTGTAATGTAATGTGTGGAATAATGCGAAGGAAATATAATAATATTTAATCAGAGTGTACAACTCTAATATTTATCTGATTCTGATGAATCAGAGTGTACAACTCTGATATTTATCTGATTCTACAAGTTTAACTTTAGTAACGGAGCGTGTCTAGATGAATGTATTGGTTGTTAGTATAAGCATAATAATAAGGATGTTATGTGTATAATGATAAGGATATTATGTACATAATGATAAGGATATTATGTGCATAATAATAAGGATGTTATGTGCATAATGATAAGGATATTATGTGCATAATAATAATGATATTATGTGACCATGGCCATCCTCAGTATGGTAATTGGTATCCCTAGACTGATCATGCTTATAAAGGCACCAGCTCCCTTAATATGAGACACCATGCCATACACATGATACAGTAGTCTTTGCGAATATATGAGGCAGGCCAGCAATCAATCACTGATTATTCTGTATACGTATAGTTGAAGTTGTTAGCCTTGACTTCAGAACCACTCAAAGTGTCTTCACCTGACTAAACCTAGTTATCCGAGTAGTTTAGTGCACCACTACGGTTTCAAATCTTTCCGAACAATAATTAATACAGATCTAGGGTGTTTATGAGCCGCTCTTATCGATAAAAGATACAAAAGAAGGTCCTACCGGGATTCGAACTCGGGTCGCAGGATTCAGAGTCCTGAGTGCTAACCACTACACCATAGGACCCATGATGACAACCTAATGTCTAATTTTCCAATTTTCTCATAATAAGCTGACTAAATACAATAACAAACAGCAGTTTGATGAAATCGAGTGAGCACTTTAATACACAATTTTGTGTTCACATGCATTATCTAGATAACTCAGGTCATTCGATTCACGTCGTCCTTTTCGTAAACACTCAGCCAAAATAAGCTACAGGGAGCTATCATAATATCTATTAATATAGTTAGAAACCCTTTAGACTGTAATTTCAGAAAGTCTGAAAATTATACATTTTATAGTAGATATGGGTCCTATGGTGTAGTGGTTAGCACTCAGGACTCTGAATCCTGCGACCCGAGTTCGAATCCCGGTAGGACCTTCTTTTGTAAAAAATCCTTTATTTTTAAAACTTTATCCTAAATTTTATAGTTACAATATTGCATCAAAAATTATACATTTTCATCAAGTTAATCGATTTGGAATTCAATCTCAAGACGTTTTCATATCAATATGATATTATTAGGAATAGTTAAAATGCGAACAGGGAACAAAAGAAGGTCCTACCGGGATTCGAACTCGGGTCGCAGGATTCAGAGTCCTGAGTGCTAACCACTACACCATAGGACCTACAGAGCTCAATATATGTTCTTACTCTATATAAACGGCTAATTAAGGGTGTAACGTTACACGGAAAGTGTACCTCCTGAGAGTTGAGACTTGCCGTGTATATAGTATATACAGCACGGATATTTAGATGTGTCATAGTAGGTGGTGATGGGTTTAGGAAATATGAATAATATGCAATTATAAGGGGTATTATGTATGGTATCCGACAAAATGACTTGTTGGATCTGGAAGTGATTGACCATACAAATTACAAGCCACACCATCGTTTAAGATTACCAACAACATGACTTTAAAGTGACTAAGTTATCAAGTAAATGCAGAAACCACTTACCTTTAGAGCATCCCCGATAATCCAGAACATAAGCTTGTTAACATAGTCTACTTGAAGTTCCCTTGCACCCTCCAGCATACGGTCAATCAGTGATTTAGTGCCTGAAATAGGGAGGAATTACAACATTCAATATACTCCAACCTTTTCTGATGTCCTATCCTCGTGTAAACTTCGAATGTGAAATGAAGCTTTGCTCCACTTAACTTTTGACTATGACATGAGAAAAGATAGAACTTGATTTTTTGAGAATCCAATAAAACCTGATAATAATAACTCAGTACTGACCATCTCCTTCGAGTGTAGTGCGGGCAATTCTACCAAGTTGAGAATCCAGGAATATTATTTCTTGTGAGACTGGGTTAACATGGACACCTGATGAAAAGAGAGTTAGCTGAGAGACCAAGAGACAGAGAAGACAGACAGACAGACAGACAGACAGACAGACAGACATACAGACAGACAGGCAGGCAGGCAGGCAGACAGACAGACAGACAGACAGACAGATAGACAGACAGACAGACAGACAGACAGACAGACAGACAGACAGACAGACAGACATACAGACAGACAGACAGCCAGACAGACAGCCAGCCAGACAGACAGACAGATACTAACGGTCGACAGAGGGAGTAATCCTGACAGGCAGTTGTCTTGGTAACGCCTCTGAGTTGGCGTTTACTTCGTATATACCAGAGTCTGTAACCATCACAGCAAACTTGCTATCCTCTGAGGAAACATTTCCTTTTCAATTTTAATCGAAAGAACAGTTCATTTAAATTATTGAAAACACATTCGACAAAGTCAAGTGAGGTTCTAAAAAGCAGAGCAATACTCACGGACACATCCGACATTAGGGACATTGGCGTACCCCAGACTGCATTGACAGTGGAAGAAGTCTGTTGTTTCCGGAGTAAGTAAACATAGATGTGGGCAAGGTGAAATGCTTTGACCGCACTTTGAGTACACTGAAACACAAGGAAACATTTTATATTGAGGGGTTGAGCTGGAACTTCGCCATAATTTACTGCAGTATTACTCTGCAACTTAAACATATTTTGAGACTAGACAACCAGTCGCTATATTCCGCCCAATTTTTAACAACTCATATCCAAAAGGTTTGGAAGTTTGTACACCTTGGACCTCGGTGCCAGTTACCATGGCAACAAATGCTTTTGCAATTTGCTATCTAATTATAGATATTCCTTGTTTAACATGACGTGTCCGACTAGTGCACCTGTTGCCATGTTACGGGTCATCAAAGCGGGATAAGCAAGCTGCTAGACCTTGAAATGAACTGTTTCCTTTTCATGATAATTAACGTTTCATCATTGATTAAAGCCTCTCTATCATTAAGAACTTAATCCTTATAAACGACTGATGGATATCTCTATTACCAACATCTTACATCCAGTACCTTCTTTACCGTTGGAGTCACATCTGCTCGCCTAATGTGTCACACTGTTGCAATAACAAGCCGATACTCTGACAGTGAACGTTGAAACAGGCCATTGAATCTCTGACTTAGTACCCGCAGTTTTCTTTCTCTGGTAGCCTTATAATATGTTTTCGTATTTTTTTGTCCATTTTCAAAAATTAGACGCCTCGAACAAAAAAAATTTTTTCTACAAAAATATTAAATTCTGTTCACTCCAGCATGTTTCGAGCATGTTTCGACATCGCCTACACAATATTATACTATATAAAAATGAGACATGTAGCTGCTAGCTATACGGTACCTTCACCAGCACTAACACGGGATACCAGTTAAACAGGGTTTGCTGGTGCTGCTAATACCAGAGATACAGTTTAAAGGGTGATGGTGCTGGCTTTTACTGATTAACCTACTGAATATTATCTCCGACACGACACTTTGCCGACAACATGGTATAACTATAACAGTGGTATAACAGTGATATTTCGTCCGGTTATCTTGTCCAGCCATTAGCCAACTAGTTCTGTAATTTTGTTGGGGGGGGGGGGGGGGGGGGGGGGGGGGGGGGGGGGGGGGGGGGGGGGGGTGGGGAGGCAATGGTGAAAAAATTTTATGGTGAATCGGGTCCCAGAACTTGCAAATTTCACCATTTATCACCATTTTTCACCATTTTTCAATGATAATATCGACTCTAGAGTCTAGACCCTATATTAAAGAATACTAAGAGAGTCCTTCAGTTCTATTTTATCATTTACAAAGATTGTCGACCTTGAGACATATACTGATTCACTGAAGCTCACTAGTTCTGTAGTTTTGTTATAAGCAACAGCTACAGCTTGGGGTTTTCTAGCAGTAACTACTAACTCTTAATATTCGTTTAAATGAACGTCAAATTATACTAATCTGATCACTTTGTGACTAGACTTTAGTTATTAAATTCAGACTTTTCTGCCTAGTTAGAGTTTGCGTGGGTGTAACTTACTGTCGATTTTATGCAGATCTTTTAAGGACACGGGGGGTCCGAGGTCAAACATTTATTTTTGCCAGTTCCTATCTGGCGCATGTGTGCAACAAACACCTAGCCCAACAAAATCAAAATCGCTACATCATTTTAGGACAAGAACTTGAAGAACACTTGTGCCAAGTTACAAGGTCTTAAGTTGTACACTGTAAAAGAAGATTCATTCGAAGTTTTCATTTGCAATATAATTACATGTAAACCTCAATTTTTGACGCGCAATATCTCAAAACGGATAAAAAAAAGTATTTGAAAAATTTGACCGACTCTACAAAATATCTGAAAATTGACTTCGCCCCCCCCCCCCCCCCCCCTGTGACCTCAATCAATGTCAATATTCCGCGAAAGAAATGTCAAATATATTCCAACTTACTATATAACTAAATCTTATTTCTTGAATTTATCGTACGTCTAGACTAAATATTAATCTCTATTAAATTTATAGCCGTTCCTGGGTTCATTATCGAATGGCGTTGTACCGGAACGACACGGGTATTGACTGGTACCTAAATGTGTCTAGACACGTTTGCTTTATTACTGAGATTTTACTTTTTACGTCGCTTGCTTTATTACTAAGATTCGGGTATATAAGTTCAAAATATTCGATATTCGCCTAAATTAAACTTACCCCAAGGTTGCTGGGCTGGATGGACCATGCCTACTCCTGATATTCCGGCCCAGTCCGATATATTTGCTTGGTAGCCCGTATCAGCTCCACCTGTAATGGTTTTTATTTTGTTAATTCATGTGTAAATTTCACGACAAAGAAGTCAACATCACATTCTAGATTAAAAGTTTCAAAGGTAAAATTTAAACTTAAACTGAAATAAGAAAACAAAATGAAACTAACTTGATTTGTTGAAGCTGGTAACCATTTCTCTCCTCTCATCAAAGTAGTAAACTTGGTCCTTGTGAACTGCCAGGAAGTTTATTAAGTTGGTGGAGCCTTTCTTGAGCTGTACCACCCTGCTTCCGTCCAGGTTACTGGACTCTGTAATACGGTGTTATCAGTATTAAGGGGAGAAGAGGGGGGGGGGGGACCACCCTGCTTCCGTCCAGGTTACTGGACTCTGTAGTACGGTGTTATCAGTATTATTAGCCTTTCTTACGTTCAACAGACGGAAATGCATTTATTATTTGCATCGGTTAAACTAGAGAAAAAGGTGTCGATTCTCATCATAACTAAACCGTCTCGTTTAAGGAGGAGAATACTCCAGTTGACGGTTCTCCTCGTCTAGTCTAAGGTGGTGGGGGGGGGGGGGGGGGGGGGGGGGGGGGGGGGGGGGAGGGGGGGGGGGGGGGGGATAGGTTAAGTGGTGGGGGAGGGGGATAGTGTAAGAAAACTAACTGATAGAGTCCTGGTTCTCCTCGTCCAGTTTTGTGATCCAGTAGAGTCTCCTGTCCTGGTAGTCCACCAACAATCCCCACGGCTTAGAACCGGCTGTCTCTGAGTTGTGGATCTTCGTTACCGCGCTTCTTCCGTCCATACTGACCTGCAAAAACAGGGTTTAATAGAACACATAGTAACACTTTGGTTTGTTGTGGAAGGTTGCCCCAGAGGGAACCGGACACAAGGGCGGTAGACACAATAGCGGAGGACACGAGGGCGAATCACTTTAACATTGACAAACGGGTTTTTTGATGTTCTCAACAGTCTGGTTGAGGTAGAGCTTAGCTCGAAGAATTGGATCTACTCACGTGTAAATTTGAAACAAAACATAGTGATGTGACAAATAATCACCCAGATTTAAACTCAGCTGTAACTCAGCAGCAGATTTTGGGGTTTGGTAACGTGCTTAAGCCAATCAAACACTGCCTAGATGTTCATGTGATAAACTTGGCCTTCAAAATATCGCAGTCGCTGACGCTACGGTTACCCGGGTTTAGATCAGGGGTAGAACGTACCAAAACGGGTATTTACTTTGGGTAGACGAATTTCACTGAGGTGTGTTCACTCAATTTCAAGCCATCAATCCTCTCAGTTAAAACGACCATCATTTAGGACGGTTTTTGTTCCGCATTCGTGTCAATGTTAAAATTAATCATGTGATTCGCCCTTGTGTCCACCCTTTTGGGAAGGTAACGCCTTTGTGTCCTACGCCCTCGTGTCCTCCGCTCTTGCGTCTACCGCCCTTGTTTCCTACGCCCTCGTGTCCTATACCTGCCCCGAGCGCCGGTAAAACTAAATGTGGGGTTTACTGCAATTACGTATTTACCATGTTGTTATAGTATCTTTGTGGCTTCTAACTAAGACAGTGCAACTTTTGTTCTTTATCTCCGGTTTATTTACAATTGTATTGCTTTGAAGATCTAGTATTCGTAGCTTGACAAGTGAACAAACATTAAAGTTTGTTATTGTAACAAAATATTTATTAAGAATTTAATTAATTGACCAGGATGCGAGAAAGCAACAGTTCCTAATCCGCTTACAAATAATCGTTCAATCATTGACATGGTTATATGGTAATTTTAGAATCCTTCGAGACATTACAAAATGCATTATGACGGGGTTTCAGTAAACCAATCAGCTCGCTTCAAATTAAACCATCGCGGTGGATATAACTACAGTTATTGTGCGAATAATCCTGTCGCTTGATCAATAAGACATTTGTACTTTACAAACATAACTGAATATCTCCTTATCGATAATATCCTGTCAAAAAATCAACAATTCCTCCAATGAGATCAACCGAGAGACATAATTCATATAACCAATAATCATATTCTCGTCACTTTGACAACTTCGCCAATCGCTGCTTGATCTGAATTCTTAATTTTTGATTTTACTATTAAACATTTAAACGACCAACAAATCCCCCGACGCGATCGGACGAGAAATACTTTATAACCATATTTTTCGTTATCTTTACCACTTCTCTGCTAGCTCCAAAATCTTAACCGCAGAGATTTAGATGATATGGTTGGCAATTGCGATTGTTATCAATCGTTAACGAAAATTGCGAAAATTATTGTCATGTCTTCATCGTTGGTATTAATGCAAAAACCTGACAACATTTTTGAGTGAATGGCACATGGCATTAATCCCCCAAATTTTAAAAGGCTAACTTTTCATTCAGCATTGAACAGAATTTTATTCAATGAAAATATTGGCGATAAAATTGCTAAATTATCTCTAAATTTATCTCCATTTTTAATATCATGAAGAATTTTGGAAATAAATACGTCAGTCATAATATAAAAATTTTAAGCCTGGAGCAGTGGGCTACGGTGTTTCAAACAATCAACCACTTTGAATACCTTAAACTCTGTACGACTTGCTGTGATTAATTGTCTTCTGGTCGCATACTTTGAAAGCACGGATGTTCAATGTTCATGATGATATTTTATTCCATCCAATGACATCATTTTAAAATATTTACTGATAGTACTACATATATTATCGCAGCTATATCACAAGTGCAGCGGTTTCACCTTTATAACCATACTCTTAGTCTTAGGAGCCACACAAATAACTGCACATTCACCTTTAAATCATATTTTTTACTCGCACATTCAATGGGACAAACTCCATCTAAGTCACATTTCGTTAATCTATACTATGAAAATAATTAATAATATAATATTCCCACCTTGTATATGCCACTCTCAGAAACGGACTGCCATGTCACGTGACGTGACGTCATAGCACGTGACGTGACGTCATACCACGTGACTATGAAAATAATTAATAATATAATATTCCTACCTTGTATATGCCACTCTCAGAAACGGACTGCCAGGTCGAATAGATAATCTCCTTATCTGTCATTGAGAGGGTGATGGAGTGGAGAAGAGGGATCCCCTTTGCGACCGCTGTTCGGTATTTTCCAGTCATCGTGCTCACATCTGCGGGAGTCATATGGTTGTTATATTATGTGACGACTGACGTGGCGTCATACTATTAACCACGTGACGTCATACCACGTGTCGTGACGTCATACCACGTGTCGTGATGTGATCTGAATGCCGTTATTCGAAATTACGGTTTCATTATTTCATATTAACTGATTTATCTTTCCGTACGATATCCTAACTGAAATCGTGTTCTAATATCGACCGAATAATAATATTACGGGTATTAAGTTATTGCACTGCCGAACTTGTTACCGTTATTGCTGCACGACCTTACTGAACATTAGATTAACTGAAGCTTTATGTGAAATTAACTATTGTTTAAGAAAATGTTTAGAACGCGATATGACATGTGACATGATACGAATATCGAATCTCCATCGCTACTTCATCTGATAGTACATGGGCCACGTGACGTGACGTCATACCACGTGACATGACGTCATACCACGTGACGTGCTGTAAGATCACGTGACAAAGGTAAAAAAAGTGTTCACCAGGCCGTACAGAACGACTGTAGAATCACGTGATACCGTGTTTTGGACTTCAAGGTCATATCGCACAATTTCTCGCTCAGTTTCTCATTAATCAGAGCATCCTACGAGGATGTGCTACCCATATCATTAGAGGTTATCAGACGATAATGCTGCACTTTACAGCTCAATAATTCGTATCTAAGATAACATTTTGCTGATAACAACTCGTCATTTCTTGACAAAGCGTCCCAGTATCTAATGCGACTCCTTTTGCGTTATATTACTGACTTCGCTTGTGAGTCAGTTTCTAAGTAATGTCTCTTTTTCTATTACTATATTCAAATCCGATTTAAATTCTTAAACATGAAAAAACGTAACAAAACTGCATTAATCTAGCATGTGTTGGAACTAAAAGTTTAACATAAAATGTAAGAACTACCTACAAATATTACAAATATTACTCACAAATATTTCAAATTTTACTTACAAATATTACAAATATTACTTACAAATATTGCCAGTATAGAGTTCTGCGTAGTAGACATTCCTTCCGATCCAATCCACACAAATGTCAGCAATAGAAGCGAAACCATAGTTCATAACACCGCCCTCCGTCTCAAATATCCTCTCAAAATCTGAGTTACATTAAATAACTTATAGTGAGTTACATTAAATAACTTATAGTGAGTTACATTAAATAACTTATAATGAGTTACATAAAATAACTTATAGTGAGTTACACAAAATAACTTATAGTGAGTTACATTAAATAACTTATAGTGAGTTACATTAAATAACTTATAATGAGTTACATAAAATAACTTATAATGAGTTACATAAATAACTTATACTGAGTTACATAAAATAACTTATAGTAATAAACAAGAAAAATTTCCCCAACTAGGTTATATAGCGTGACTAGTGTTCACAGTGGACCAAAAGTAATTCACATATTATAGTCATTCACCTGGTCGATACGAGGCTATATAATCAATTGGAAAGAGCACGCTCCCGACCCCAGAAATTAAATCTATTTTCCACATTACTCTATATTTCTACATGACAACCCGACTCACCGGACCCATCGAAGCTGACCCTATAGATTGAGTTACGACTGGCGATGTAAATCTTTTCTTCTTGCTGGTCAAAGTCTACGCTGGTAGCACCTTTTGTTAACACGGGCTTCTGCAAAAATGTGAATATTAATTAATTTTTTATTTTAAATGGATCTATATAATAATAGTGTTATTTCCTTTATCGGCACTAAAGTGCTCTACTTGAGAGTAAGGAGCAAGGTAAAGAAAAAAATGAAACAAAGTTCAAATAATAAGTTCTTATTATTCAAACTTTGTTTCATTAATTTTTTAAATGGATCTATATAAATATTGAAATTGGCAGCAAACCGTCAAATCTAGTTAATATATAGTGCAATGTCAATTAAAGTCTAAGACAATTTTATTAGAGAATAATATATGTTTGGCTACGTCGCGACAGAAACTTAATCGTTTGACTAAGGACCAGTTATGATAATGCTCTGAAGACTCAAAGGTGAATTTAAATGAGAGTTATATTTAATAGTTGCTAATATCTAACACTGTCTGCCTTCGTAAGATTTCAAAATCTGCTCCTGTCTCATTAGTGTGTTCCGTTTTTAGAGCAGTTTTATCGTAACTTATACTCTTATAGTGAGTTATGTAATATAACTTATAGTGAGTTATGTAATATAACTTATAGTGAGTTATGTTAAATAGCTTATAGTGAGTTAAATAAATAACTTATAGTGAGTTATATAAATAACTTATGGTGAATTATGTAAATAGCTTATAGTGAGTTATATAAATAACTTATAGTATGCTGTATAAATAATTTATAGTGAGTTATGTAAATAACTTAAAATGAGTTATATAAAATAACTTATAGTGTGTTGTGTAAATAACTGTCGCATTAGTTTATTTCTGCATGTTTATCGTGAATGAACGCCCATCCCACAGTAAATCAAGTAGTTTTATCCTACGACCCATCGATAGGAAAAGTAAAGCATTTCTTATCCACAAAATTACGGGTTGATGATATTAAACAATGATGATATTATTATCCAGAGTACGATTTTCGTAGTAGTAAACCTGCGGACCATTCCGGTGGTACTTCCCCTGATTAATGACAATATCCCAGCGCTTAGTTCGTCTAATCAAGGAAATCACCAACATGATACCAGAACCTCGCCAACATGATACCAGAACATCGCTCGGTCAGCTCATAATAAATCAGATTCATAAGTTATATCACATCTACAATTTGATGATGTTGAGCCCTATAGATTTGAATCTCCAAGCCGGTCACATACGTGTACTTATTGAACTACTGTCCTTTCTGAGCCTTTATTTTTCTCGTCCCTTGCCACTTGAGCGCCCAACGTATAAAGCAGGTATTACTATAGAGTTACCATGGTAACCAACAACTATACCTTCTATTTGTTATAAAGTATTAAGCAGGTATTACTATACCTTCTATTTGTTATTGAAGGTAACTCTATTCAGCTCTACAGGGTGAGTTGAAAGTAATGTTTGGATTTTAAATGGCTCTAATTTCTGAGATAAAATAAAAATCACTCCATTTTTGCATATTTAAGTCATCAAAATATATGAAAATTAGGGCCTGATAAATACCACAGATTGGAACATAAGAATGTTGGATCAGGATAATTAGTCATCAAAAATATAATAAACGGCAAAAAAATTGTATCAAGGACCGGAGACGACAAAAAAGGGCAAAAAGGGCGATGAAAACATACCAGTTCTATCCTCTACTTCTGTAGCCTTATTTCATGTGCTAACTTCAGTAAGAAAACATACCAGTTCTATCTTCTACTTCTGTAGGCTTATTTCATGTGCTAACGTCAGTAAGAAAACATACCAGTTCTATCTTCTACTTCTGTAGTATTTCATGTGCTAACGTTAGTAGGCAACTGTGTCCTTAATGGCAGAATTGTCTGCCATTAAGCGTTTTATGTTCTCAGCTTGTTGGCTCATTAACACACGTCCTAGACAATCTATTCTATCATATAGGAAGGGTGTTATCTCGTCTAGATCACGTGTTATCTCACGTCTCACCTAGATAACGTGTTTAGATACTGTAACTGCGTCTAGGAAGAAAGTAGCTTGCCCGTTACATTCACAAGTGACTGTAAATTATAAAGTTGTCTTTTTCCAGAGCTTTCAAAATAAAAATAAACGTTTTTCATCTTGTCTAGAACAACAAATGCTGTGGTAGCCTCTTACTTGGTGCAGTACGAATACGTTGAAAGAGTGCTAAAGGCAAAGCGCAAAAGAAGTCTTATATAATGAGAAAGTAACATCGTCTAGAACGCACATCTACGCATATCTACGCATATCTACACATATCTACGCACGTTCTCTGTGGTCCAGGGACAAAAGGATTTCGCGATTATTTTGGCAAAAAATCGCGATACCGCGAAATTTAACAGGCTATACATTGAACTACACATAAAATTTGTCGCAAATAATGGGAAAAATCGCGATTCCGTACATGCCGCGATTTCCTTTTGTCCCTGCTGTGGTCTAGCAAGGACCTTACAAATGTTGGATTAATCCCATTACCAGCCTCATTATCCTTTGTGCAGTCTGACTATTGGTTTCGGGGACATGCCGCTTGATAACACTTCCCAGCAAGCATTTTTAGTGCCGCGAAAAATGTATTACGGGATATATTACGGGATACCTAATATAGATGACATTATCTAGTATCTTAGAATGAAATCCTCTGCGATTTAAGATCCATAACGAGGTCAATGATTAGTTCATCTCATTGGATCTTCAACTCGCCGAGCATTTTTTATAAGGTTGCACCAGTCGAAAAAAGCAAGTTTTATAGCTTTAAAGTTTCGTTAAAATAAATCTCTTGCTGTTTATAACTTTATAATGCCCTTTGACCGTTTAACTTCGTACTTCTGGCGTAAGGTTTTCAAATGCTTTCATGTCATGACGAGCACACAAGCTTTTCCGTTTTTGACGTTTTAGTTTTTATTTAAGTACTTAAATATACAAAGTTGCCAATTTCCTTTAACGCCCTTTCGATGGCACTCTGTGCGTTTTGATTGACGAGTTAACACCAATAAAAATACAAATTCGTTTTATCGACTTACAGGAGGAGCAAGGGTTTTGGAGACGTCCAATGATAAGACTTTGTCAGGTAGAGCCACGAATATCTGAGGTACCCGATCTGAAAACGTCATATTAACCGTAAGGTTGGGAATGCAGACAAAATTGGTTTTACATACGTAACGCACCAATAGGCAATATTACTTAAATTAATTTATAACTGAAGAATGGCGAGGAATAAGAGTTACCTCGGTTACCAGTAAGAATTACCATGGTAACCATTAAAAGTTACCAAAACAGTAACTCTAAATACTCACCACAAGAGCCGTTCTCGTCAGGAGTAACGTTCTTCTCGCACATACAGACTCTCTCTTGTTCGGATGTGGGCACACAGATACCGTCATTACAGGGGGAGGTAGTGCACGCGCTCGTACCTGAGAATACAACACATGGTCAGTGGGCACAGTGGGGCACCACCCTAAGAAGGGGGGGGGGGGGCACAGTGGGGCACCACACTAAGAAGGGGGGGGGGGGGGGCACAGTGGGGCACCACACAGATACCGTCATTACAGGGGGAGGTAGTGCACGCGCTCGTACCTGAGAATACAACACACGGTCAGTGGGCACAGTGGGGCACCACACTAAGAAGGGGGGGGGGGGGGGCACAGTGGGGCACCACACTAAGAAGGGGGGGGGGGGGGGGGGCACAGTGGGGCACAGTGGGGTACCACACAGATACCGTCATTACAGGGGGAGGTGGTGCACGCGCTCGTACCTGAGAATACACACATGGTCAGTGGGCACAGTGGGGCACCACACTAAGAAGGGGGGGGGCACAGTGGGGCACCACACTAAGAAGGGGGGGGGGGGGGGCACAGTGGGGCACCACACTAAGAAGGGGGGGGGGGCACAGTGGGGCACCACACTAAGAAGGGGGGGGGGGGCACAGTGGGGCACCACACTAAGAAGGGGGGGGGGGGGGCACAGTGGGGCACCACACAGATACCGTCATTACAGGGGGAGGTGGTGCACGCGCTCGTACCTGAGAATACACACATGGTCAGTGGGCACAGTGGGGCACCACACTAAGAAGGGGGGGGGGGGGGGGGGCACAGTGGGGCACCACACTAAGAAGGGGGGGGGGGGGGGGGGGCACAGTGGGGCACCACACTAAGAAGGGGGGGGGGAGGGGCACAGTGGGGCACCACACAGATACCGTCATTACAGGGGGAGGTGGTGCACGCGCTCGTACCTGAGAATACACACATGGTCAGTGTGGGGTGCACAGTGGGGCACCACACTAAGAAGGGGGGGGGGGGCACAGTGGGGCACCACACTAAGAAGGGGGGGGGGCACAGTGGGGCACCACACTAAGAAGGGGGGGGGCACAGTGGGGCACCACACTAAGAAGGGGGGGGGGGCACAGTGGGGCACCACACTAAGAAGGGGGGGGGGGCCCAGTGGGGCACCACACTAAGAAGGGGGGGGGGGGGGGCACAGTGGGGCACCACACTAAGAAGGGGGGGGGGGGGGGGGGGGCACAGTGGGGCACCACACTAAGAAGGGGGGGACACAGTGGGGCACCACACTAAGAAGGGGGGCACAGTGGGGCACCACACTAAGAAGGGGGGGGGGGGGGGGGCACAGTGGGGCACCACACTAAGAAGGGGGGGGGCACAGTGGGGCACCACACTAAGAAGGGGGGGGGGGGGCACAGTGGGGCACCACACTAAGAAGGGGGGGGGGCACAGTGGGGCACCACACTAAGAGGGGGGGGGGGGACACAGTGGGGCACCACACTAAGAAGGGGGGGGGCACAGTGGGGCACCACACTAAGAAGGGGGGGGGGGAGGCACAGTGGGGCACCACACTAAGAAGGGGAGGGGCACAGTGGGGCACCACACTAAGAAGGGGGGCACAGTGGGGCACCACACTAAGAAGGGGGGGGGGGGGGCACAGTGGGGCACCACACTAAGAAGGGGGGGGGGCACAGTGGGGCACCACACTAAGAAGGGGGGGGGAGCACAGTGGGGCACCGCACTAAGAAGGGGGGGGGGGGGGCACAGTGGGGTACCACACTAAGAAGGGGAGGGGCACAGTGGGGCACCACACTAAGAAGGGGGGGGGGGGGGCACAGTGGGGCACCACACTAAGAAGGGGGGGGGCACAGTGGGGCACCACACTAAGAAGGGGGGGGGGGCACAGTGGGGCACCACACTAAGAAGGGGGGGGGGGCACAGTGGGGCACCACACTAAGAAGGGGGGGACATAGTGGGGTACCACACTAAGAAGGGGGGGGGGGGGGCACAGTGGGGCACCACACTAAGAAGGGGGGGGGGGGGGGGCACAGTGGGGCACCACACAGATACCGTCATTACAGGGGGAGGTAGTGCACGCACTCGTACCTGAGAATACACACATGGTCAGTGGGGTGCACAGTGGGGCACCACACTAAGAAGGGGGGGGGGGGGGCACAGTGGGGCACCACACTAAGAAGGGGGGGGGGGGCACAGTGGGGCACCACACTAAGAAGGGGGGGCACAGTGGGGCACCACACTAAGAAGGGGGGGGGGGGGCACAGTGGGGCACCACACTAAGAAGGGGGGGGGGCACAGTGGGGCACCACACTAAGAAGGGGGGGGGGGGGGCACAGTGGGGCACCACACTAAGAAGGGGGGGGGGGCACAGTGGGGCACCACACTAAGAAGGGGGGGGGGGGGCACAGTGGGGCACCACACTAAGAAGGGGGGGGGGCACAGTGGGGCACCACACTAAGAAGGGGGGGGCACAGTGGGGCACCACACTAAGAAGGGGGGGCACAGTGGGGCACCACACTAAGAAGGGGGGGGGGGGGACATAGTGGGGCACCACACTAAGAAGGGGGGGGGGGGGCACAGTGGGGCACCACACTAAGAAGGGGGGGCACAGTGGGGCACCACACTAAGAAGGGGGGGCACAGTGGGGCACCACACTAAGAAGGGGGGGGCACAGTGGGGCACCACACTAAGAAGGGGGGGGGGGGGCACAGTGGGGCACCACACTAAGAAGGGGGGCACAGTGGGGCACCACACTAAGAAGGGGGGGGGGGGGGCACAGTGGGGCACCACACTAAGAAGGGGGGGGGGTACAGTGGGGCACCACACAGATACCGTCATTACAGGGGGAGGTAGTGCACGCGCTCCTACCTGAGAATACAACACATGGTCAGTGGGCACAGTGGGGCACCACACTAAGAAGGGGGGGGGGGGGGGGGGGCACAGTGGGGCACCACACTAAGAAGGGGGGGGGGGGGGGGCACAGTGGGGCACCACACTAAGAAGGGGGGGCACAGTGGGGCACCACACTAAGAAGGGGGGGGCACAGTGGGGCACCACACTAAGAAGGGGGGGGGGGCACAGTGGGGCACCACACTAAGAAGGGGGGGGGGGCACAGTGGGGCACCACACTAAGAAGGGGGGGGGGGGCACAGTGGGGCACCACACTAAGAAGGGGGGGGGGGCACAGTGGGGCACCACACTAAGAAGGGGGGGGGGCACAGTGGGGCACCACACTAAGAAGGGGGGGGGCACAGTGGGGCACCACACTAAGAAGGGGGGGGGGCACAGTGGGGCACCACACTAAGAAGGGGGGGGGGGCACAGTGGGGCACCACACTAAGAAGGGGGGGCACAGTGGGGCACCACACTAAGAAGGGGGGGGACATAGTGGGGCACCACACTAAGAAGGGGGGGGGGCACAGTGGGGCACCACACTAAGAAGGGGGGCACAGTGGGGCACCACACTAAGAAGGGGGGGGGCACAGTGGGGCACCACACTAAGAAGGGGGGGGGGGGGGGCACAGTGGGGCACCACACTAAGAAGGGGGGGGGGGGGCACAGTGGGGCACCACACTAAGAAGGGGGGGCACAGTGGGGCACCACACTAAGAAGGGGGGGGCACAGTGGGGCACCACACTAAGAAGGGGGGGGGGGCACAGTGGGGCACCACACAGATACCGTCATTACAGGGGGAGGTAGTGCACGCGCTCCTACCTGAGAATACAACACATGGTCAGTGGGGTGCACAAGTTTATTGTTGAACCCGTGCAATTACCAATTAGCATAGTGTTTGTTTGAGACATCTACTATTCTGTGCGGGTGAATGTATTAGTATGGTGATTGTACTGATTGCTGGTTGACGGAGGATAGAAGTTATATGGTGATTATACAGCTTGATGCTGCGTGGTCAGTGTCGGGTAATAACTAAGCTTCACTTGTTGGAGATCCCTGGTACTTGAAGGGTGAGCAAAGACCGCAGGATTCTTATTAATTTCTGATAACATATCGGTTGGATAGAACAATTTATTTTGATCATTTAGCAACGCGAAGCTCTGTAATGCTTTGGATGGATCCCATTTTTTTTTCTTGTTCGTGGAAAACACGCTTCTTCATTTCTTCATGTTATTACCTTTTATAGCTTCTCAGCTGATGATTTGCTGTCAACATTACATAAATACGATTTTGCGCAGCTGACCTTTAAAATTAGCACGTTATTTTTATACAGCTCTTTTCTCCTTTATTTGTCACTGATCCTCTATTACCAATCATAGTCAATGACCATTGACTACAACGGACAGTCTCGTTCTTTAGTAACCTTCTCTTTCTTTGATAATAACTTCTCTCGTTCTTCAATAACCTCCGCAAGCATTTCCAGACCCCTCCGCAAGCATTTCCAGACCCCTCTCTCCTTTACTGCTTACGTCATAATCATTTGTTTGCAGTCCCTGGCTAAAGGACCCAATTATGACGTCATTAATTACAGTTAATGAGCTATCCCAGATCAGTATCCAGCAAAACATTAAAACTGATCTAACATTTACAGCCTGTTATTATTATCTGCTCAATAATTAAGATTATCTAGTCTGTAATGTTTATTGGTGTGTGTTTCCCTGAGTCAGCAGTATACAATTACACAATAAAAACATTTGCAAGATGCTAATGTTTCCTCTTCAAAACTCTGCTATTATACTCACCTAACTGTCCAACAATTTGTTTTGTTTTTCCAGTTCAACAATGAGTTAATTGCCAACTCACCAGTAGCTATACTTCACATAATCCCACATAATGCCATACACCTTGATAAGCTATGTACGTATTCGAGCGACGCAAAAGTTATGTTGCAACCTTAATCACATAATGAACATATAATGTTCATTATATGCAAGCCTCTTGATTTATAATCCTTAATAAAACAATGGGTCAAACATACTGCGCTACAAGAAAACAGCGTAAAAATAGCACAACAAATCTCGTGAGCATGGCTCTCCCTCTTCCATTCTATACTCTATTCACTGTTTCACCTAAGAAACCATTTTTCTTGCTTTTCTTGCTAATTAGAAATTATAACATCAAACTGGTATGGAATTTTTCACATAAAATACTCCGGCCTTTAATATA